CCGTTCCCGCGCAGATCTCCACAATCTCCGTCGCCGCAGATCTCCGTCGCAGATCTCCGCAAGCTGCAGATCTCCGGAAGCCGCAGATCTCACAACGACGCCCGTTCCGCTCGTTGTCGCCCGCAGATCGCAGATCTCCGCACCTCGCCCCGCTCCGCTGTCGTAGATCTCCGCACCTCGGCCCGCAGCCCTCAATCTACCGCACCTCGGGTATGTCGTAGATCTCCGCACCTCCCTCCGTTCCGCTGTCGATCTCGACAACACAACTCTTGGATCTTCTTGTCTGATCCTAGTAGGAGACCCTAATTCGTATGTGTAATTCATTCCATTTTTGCTGTCGTCTTGGTAATTTTTAGCAGGAGATCCTAATTTTGCTATTCATTTTTAAGGCACTTTTAACATAATTGGCCTTATTTCCCTTACAATGCATTGTTGATACATGGTATAAGCTATAAAAGAGTAGCACTGCTATCTTTAATTGTTTTATTGCATATTCATTTTAACATTCATTCTCAACATGCTCAAGCTATTGATTATTTTTCAGTAATGAATTCTTAAATCAATATAATATAGCTACTTTGATTGCATTTTTTATAAAATTTACATTAAGCTCTCCTTGATATCCTCTTATTGCTTAATACTCTTTAGACATCTTCATTTTAACCATTTAATCTGAACTCTTTAAGATATCCCTCATATGTATCCCTATTTTTCTGTATTACAGATTCAAGATACTTAGACAAAATTTTTTATCGAATAGACTAAATATGTTGGGCTTATAAGGGGAATACCAAATGAATCAAAATAATGGATAAAACATATTTTCGATTATGAGGTTATCGAATACAACCCTTAATGTTATTATTTTCTGTTTATGTCAACACTGTCCTTCACGTTGAAGCATATTTATAATTTTCTCTAGCTTCTTGTATAAATGAAGAATTGGTTGCTGACCTTAGCCTTTGAGAAATGTAATCACCATTTATGTAAGAGATGAAAATATGAGAAGTGATAGTTTTAAAGGAGATCGCAACATTGCGTATTAAATATTAAGCTATCTCAATATATTTTGTTTGCTCATAAAAATAGGATTAATGGTAATGTTAATGCCGTCACATATGTTGTAATTTAAATTCATAATTTAATTGATGAGAAAATTGTCATGAGCTTGCCTAGGTGTTTCAAGGCGAGAACAAACAATCTGTTTGAAATATTTGCTTAACTAACATTTATAACTTTGTATGCTGCTTTGTGTAGTTGCACATCCCATGATGCATCAAGTTTATATAGTTTTTCTGTACTAGATATTTTCAATTAGACCCCTTGAATATTCATTTGAATGTGGCCATTTTAATCCTACAGTATCAGATTTCTCCATTTTAGTTTATTGAATATACAAATTTGATTCAAAACGGGCCCTCATATAAAGATTATGATACAAAATTGATCCTACTTATGTTTGTAATTTATACAATTAACCTCAATTTAGCCCACGAGGATTATTTTGGTTTAATTTTGTATATTTGGTGGACTACATTGAGAAACATGTTATAATTAAATTGCTATAATGGCTTCATCTTTTTGAACATTTATATATGCCTCATTGTTAGGATCTTGCACGTTAGAAAGAGAGGCTAGCATTGCAAAGTAGTTACACGACTCTGTTGTTGAATCATGTCTAAAGTGGTTGAAGGGGGTCAGTCCGCAATGTGGGACAAAGACGTTACAAATATTTTTTGTGATTTGTGTATTAAAGAAATAGAGCTGGGTAACAGACCAACAACGTATTTTAATAAGGAAGGGTGGAATAGCATTGGCAAGAGATTTAAAGAACTGACTGGTAGGGATTACGACCGCCTTAAATTTAAAAACAAATGGGACCAGCTGAAGAAGGAATGGAAAATATGGAAGGAGTTGAAGCGTGGATCTACCGGTCTGGGTTGGGATCCGATTAAAAGGACAATTGATGCTCCAACTGAATGGTGGTCTGAAAAACTAGAGGTAAATTTATATATAATTCATGAATTGTTAGCTTCGCAAATTATTTTATCTAACTATAATTTTCTAACTATCCCCTCTAAATGCTGTTCCACAGGCAGTACCGGCAGCGAAGAAGTACAAACAGTGTGGAATAGAGCCGGAATTTGAAGCGAAATTGGACATAATGTTTAGATGGGTTGTCGCAACAGGAAAGTTTTCATACAACCCAATTGAAAGCGGTTTTACAGGGATACCATATGAGATCACACCTGAGCCAGTGACACCCGATGAAGAAGTCCAAAGCATTAACCAGAGGGATATGGGGGAGTCCA